TAATCTACCATCTTCTTGGAAGAAGCACAGAGACAACTATCAAAAAATTATCACAAATGTTAGGTCAAAATAATTGTCAGTACATCTCTAGGCTTCATTTAACAAAATGATAGTAATTGTCAAGGCCCAAGGCTGGACCTTCTGTTTCTGGGAAGCAAACTGATTGATTTAGATTCTCAAAATAATTTTAAGAATAGCTTTTATTCTGAATTCAGAAAAGTAGCAATGAGCTAAAGACAAATAAAGGCCTTCAATGGTCTAAACAGGAAATATTTTCTTGGGAAAAATTTCAGAGTCCATGACAGATAGAAGTGAATGGACTTAAGGACATTATTTAAAAGAAAAATGAAAATTTTAATGCAAACGCAATTGCCCTTGAAAACAAAAATAGAAGTTTTGAGATGACCATGCAAACATTTTTCAAATCTTAAAAACTGAGAACCAAACACATGGAGTAAAAGACCAAGTCTCAGAGAACAAACTGGAATTGCTCTGTACTAGCAATAAGAGCCTGGGTGATACAAGAAGAATTCCAGTCCTCTATTCTAGGAGAAGCTGAAATACACACAGAAGCCACTTCTTGAGATTCCTATGAGGACTATGTTTCCCAAAAAGGCAAAGTGGCAAAAAATGATTATGCAGTGTACCCATTATAGGTTTCATCCGTCCTGTACTCCGACTCCAATGTTTAACATAAAGATCGGTGTGAATGTGATCTGTTTTGTGTACTGCAACATTTCCAGTGCCTAAGAATACATAGAAGCAGAACATAAATATAGCGTTAATGGGATTAATCAGTTAATTTCCAGTATTTACAAGAGTTTAATATGAGCCAGGTATCATTTATAAAAGCATTTGTTTCATAAGTGATGCAGGCAAAATGGGTTATCCATTCTGATGAGGTATCTGAGTACAACACACCCTGCCACCAAATTGGTAAACACAACTAGATCTTTTCAAGAAACACAAATACACTCACAGATTCAGACGGGATTGGGGATCTCTAGTCCAAGAAACCCATGTCTAAGCTCACACTTGAGAGCTCCCCAGCTTTTTACAAAGGAGACAGCCAGAATGACACATAAATCTTCTTTCAGGTAAACTCCAAGAAAGGAAGGAGCCCCACTGTCTTCTTGGACACTCTACTCCAAATCCCAAACTCAATCCCCAGGACACAAATACTGAGTTTGTGTGTGTGCTGTGTGCAGGTATGGAATTATGCCCAGGCTACCAGCCATAGGCAGCACAAGACTGTGGATCTATGTGATGAGTTAAGGAAGTTCAAAAATGGCAATGTGGGAATGGGAGAAGGCAGAAGACAACTGCTGGAGGGAGCACAGGGCCTGAAGATGAACCAGGCAGGGGTAGAAGAGAATCAAACAACAAATCTGGCCCTAAGTCAGTGTTCACCACCCACTCCTGCCAACACCCCAGGTTCTGTGTTGTACTGCAGTGGCTATGGTTGGTTCTCCACATGGCAGGGGAAGGAAGCTGAACAGACTCATTTTAGAGCATGTACACTCCCTCCAAACATGCAAGGTCTGAGATCTGCACAGCCACGAGATCCTGGTGGGCCTTCCAGGCTCATTCTTAGCCTTCCCAGCCTAGAATTTAGATTCCTGGGAGGGAGAAGGGAGGGGGGAATGGGTGGAGGGAGGGGGTTTGGAGGGATCACTTCTGAGGTTTATCTTATAGGGGTACAGGTGAATCTAAGAGTAGAATGTGAACGTTTTAAAGCAATAACTGAGAAAATGACATGAAGGCTGTGTTGACCAGTTTTATGGAAGTATTTCGGATTGCATGTGAAAACCCCACACTGTACCCCAGAAGTGCATTAATGTACATAGTTACCAATCAATAAAAAAAAAAAAAGAAAGAAAAAAAAAAGAATTTAGATTCCTATGGGATTGGGTTCTGCTATGTAACAAAATGTGGTTTGCAAAATGTCCAATGTTATCAGAGTTACCTGTCATCACTTACTGACTGCTAATAAGTACCTGAGACCTCCTTTCAGGTAAGGATTCCTTGTTCCTTACATGAGGTTTTCTCTTGTCTGGTGGAACAAGGAAGAATGAGGTGGAAGGGAAGGTGTGTCTGTTCAGTTACTGCACCCCTAAACACTCAAGTCTTGGGGGTGGGAGCAGAACACATAGTCTTTTCCAGCTGTTACAAAAAGATCTGCAAAGCAAGACTTATTTCCACAGATCCTCTCCCTCATCCCCCTCAGAGAGCCAAGGCAGTTCTAAGCTGAACCTTTTGGAGCAAATCCACACTGAACTGTGGAGGAACACCTATTTCCTTAAGGACCTAAGACATAAGATTTTAAAGAATCACTAAATGGATTCAACAAATAAAAATGGCACTCAGTGAACTTCAAGCTATATCAGATGTTCTACAAACTGAAAATAAAGAAAATTGAAAAGAAAAACAAAACAACTTGAATTCTTCAATGGTCTTCTAATGGATTTTTCTATTGGTATCTTGGTCCTCTCTTTAGCTTATTAACCCAGAAGCCACTGAGATGGGATCTGTCTCTGAAAACAGATATTAGTTGTCACCCCTTTATTCAAAATCCTCTAGACTTCCTGCCACATTGAGAATGAAAAGTAAAGCCAACACAATTCTTCATGGCCTCTGAGCTGCTCCTGCTCAGGTTACAATACATTGCACGCTCACAGTTCATTTACATCACTGCTCAAATGGCCCTTTAACAATTTCTCTACCCACCCAAAAGCTCCACTCAAGCCCCAAGTTCCTGCTGTCACCACCATAGATGAGATTTCCTCCATGCACTTATCACTACATGAATACAACACATCTAACTCATCTGTGCATCAGTGCCCCACCCCTATTAGACTCCATCTAATCCATAGTCTCAATACAGATCCTGCACAGCACAGAACAGTACCTGGCATAAGAGGTGTGGACTCCGGAGCCAGGTACCAGGGTTCAAACCCAAACAGCAGTATTAGCTCACAGACTGAACTAAACTTCTTGCCTCAGACTATATTCCATATGCACCATGAAGATGGTGACAGTACCTATTTCCTTGGGCTTTTGTGAAAACATACGTCTATCAATAAATAAGAAAATAGGCCAGGCATGGTTGCTCACACCTGTAATCCCAGCACTCTGGGAGGCCAAAGCAGCAGGATAACTTGATACCAGGAGTCCAAAACCAGCCTGAACAAGAGTGAGACCCCATCTCTATAAAAGACAGAAAAATTAGCAGGTCTGGGAGGCCTGCAGTATCAGCTACTCTCGAGGCTGAGTCAGGAGGATCATTTGAGCCCAGGAGTTCGAGGTTGCTGCCATGGCACTAGACCCAGGGTGAGATAGCAAGACACTGCCTCAAAAAAAAAAAAAAAAAAAAAAAGAAAAGAAAAGAATAAGAAAAAAGAAAAGAATTTAAAACCTATAACCAACAATTTAAAGCATAAATGTTATGCCCATACATTTAGGTAGCAGTTATAAAACTTACCAGCAGAGATGTGAGTTGCAGACAGCATCCACCTGGGTGCAGAACCTTCCTCCCACCATAAATAAAGTAAGTCAATAGAAAAGCAATGACACAGCCATAGCAGCTTAAACCAATAGTCAATTTTATTTCTTCTCATATAATAGGAAGTTTGGAAGCAACAAATCCAGGGCGAGTGAAGACACTCATGGAAGCGACAGAGGGGTGAACAGGGTCACTGCAACCTTTCTTAAGTGACTTCCCTAGAACATGGCTTTCATCCTCATGTTACATGATAAAACTTTGACATCAGGTAATGGCTCTCCTTGCAAGGTGAGAACTAGGGTAAAAAGCAAAGAAAAGAAGAAGAAGAAAAGAATTCAGGTAAGAATGAATGACTTGGCTCAGTGCCTGTGGCTCAAGCGGCTAAGGTGCCAGCCACATACACCTAAGGTGGCAGGTTCGAATCCCCAGCCCGGGCCCGCCAAACAACAATGATGGCTGCAACCAAAAAATGGCCAGGCGTTGTGGTGGGCGCCTGTAGTCCCAGCTACTTGGGAGGCTGAGGCAGGAGACTCGCTTGAGCCCAGGAGTTGGAGGTTGCTGTGAGCGTGATGCCATGGCACTCTACCCAGGGGGATAGCTTGAGGCTCTGTCTCAAAAAAAACAAAAAAATATGAATGAATGACTTATTTTTAAAGACCCTTCCCAGAAGCCCACATAGTGACTTCTATCTGTTTGTCTGTCAAAGGCCAGGGCTATGGTACATGGACTACACTAGTTGCAAAAATCACTGTATGAGGTTCTTTAACATAGCACACCTTATAGACAGTGCCTGTAGCTCAGTGGGTAGGGCGCCGACCACATGCCCGAGGCTGGCAGGTTCAAACCTGGCATGGGCCAACTAAAAAGCAACAATAACAACTGCAACAACAAAAAAAATAGCCAGGTGTTGTGGCAGGTACCTGTCATCCCAGCTACTTGGGGGGCTAAGGCAAGAGAATTGCTTAAGCCCAAGAGTTTGAGGTTGCTGTAAGGTGTGATGCCTAGGGTGAGAGCTTCAAACTGTCTCAAAAAAAAAAAAAAAAAAAGAAATAGCACACCTTACTAATCTGAGAAAAAACCTGGATTCTCCTGATGGGGAAGAAGGTGAGACTGGACACTAGAGGAACAAATATGTGCCACTCTTGGCTGCACAGCAAGCTGCCAGAGGTTCCAACAAAGACACCATGCTTTGATTACAATGCAAATGAATTAAATACCAGTAACAAACAGGTACTAAAAAATACTCACATGTTACACAGTACATAACATAATCCTAAGTAAGCCACTGGTCAAGTAAGTTATCGCAAAGGAAATTAAAATGTTTTCAGGATGAGGCTCTAGTAAAAATGTTATATACAGACTTTTCATGATGTGGGTTATTTGGAAGAATATAAACTTAAAAATAGAAACTAGGGCGGTACCTGTGGCTCAAAGGAGTAGGACACCAGTTCCATATGCCGGAGGTGGCAGGTTCAAACCCAGCCCCGGCCAAAAACTGCAAAAATAAATAAATAAATAAATAAAATAAAAATTAATGAGCTGGGCTCTGTTTCCATGAAGAAAGACTGATTAAGTGTAATTCCATATCCATTGGAAGAATCCCACTGGGGTCTCTCAAGAACTCTCATATGCACATCATCACTATTATATTTTCTAAGTTTTGAAAAGAACCTTCTTCTATTTAAGTGCTCACAAGAATTCATAAAAATGGAGGGATTACTGTGGGTAAAAGCTAAGAAATAACAGTGATTATCTGCAACCTCAGCAATGGTGACATTTGAGGGCACATAATTCTTTGAGGGTGGGAGGTCCTAAACATTTTAGGACATTTAGCAGTGCCCCTGATGTCTTCTTGCTACACGCCAGCAGCACCTGCCTCACTCTTTGACCTCCCCCCCAGTTCTAATAAACCAAAAATGTCTCCAAAGGACGCTGCCAAGAAACTCCTGGACAGCAAAATTATCCCCAAATGAGACCACTGCTGTAGATCAAGGGTCAGCATTGCTTTTCCGCAAAGTGCCAGATAGCAAGTATATATAGGTTTTGTTGGCCACAGATGGTCTCTGTCATTTATTCTTCCTTTTTACAAATGGAACTATTGTCAGTTTGCAAGCTATACAAACCATGGTCTGCTGACCCGTGTTAGTGACTTTCCTACACTCCTCTTTTCAGTATGATTTCTCTCATGGATACTAAAAGCACGAGACCAGGAAAAGTTTCCCCAGTCACTGCAGAGCTTCACAGAGATTCTCCCCTGTACAGTGATTAACTCTTGTGCCCAAAAGGAGAGAGGTGATGCTACAGTCATCTTGACATTAGATACCAAGCCAAGGCTTCTGTTCCCTAAGTTCTCATATGTTTAAAAGCAGAATGTACCATGAAGGCTTCTCTATACTACAGAAGTATGTCTTCTACCCCAGAGTAAAGTCTTGCAAATCTAAGGGATGAGAACACCTTGTCTTTCCATAGTCTCTACAGGAACTAGATTTCTCCTGAGCTATGTGTATTCTCTTGTGCCTAGCAAGGTGACCGCTCATGAGAAGCTTCCTGCCTTCTCACATGCACAAGGCTCATTTCCCATCTGAGTGCTCACATTAAAGCACTTGGTCACTGGAGCCTCTTCCACACTGGCGACACAAAGAGCTTCTCTCCTCTGTGAGTTTTCATGTGACTCCTCAGGGATGAGTGGTCACTGAAGGCTTTCCCACAGATCAGGCATTCATAAGGCTTCTCCCCAGTGTGGATTCTCCTGTGCACGTTCAGATTAGAGCCTATGCTGAAAGCTTTCCCACAGTGATCACACTCATATGGTTTCTCTCCTGTGTGACTCCGCATGTGTGTCTTCAGGGTTGACTGGTTTCTAAAGGTTTTCCCACACTGCCTACACTCCACGCGTTTCTTTACAAGATGAATGCTCATGTGCCTCCTCCGGGATAGGTAATCACCAAAGACCTTCCCACAGGTCATGCACTCATAGCGTCTCTCTTGAGTGTGAATTTTCCTATGTGCAGTGAGGTTTGAGCTTGCACTGAAAGCTTTCCCACAGAGATCACACCCATAGGGTTTCTCTCCCGTGTGAGAGTTCATGTGTGTCTTCAGGATAGACTGGTTCCTGAAGGTTTTCCCACACTGTCGGCATTCAACAGGCTTCTTGACAATATGAATTCTCATGTGTTTCCTCCGTGACACGAGATCACCAAAGGATTTCCCACATTCCTTACATTCATAGGTTTTCTCTACCATGTGGTTCTTCCTGTGCAGATTAAAATTAGACTTCCATCGGAAGGCTTTGCCACACTGCGTGCATTCGTAGGGTTTCTCCCCAGTATGGTTCCTGACATGCTCTTTAAGATGGGAGGGGTGCTGGAAAGCTTTCCCACAGTCGAGACATTCGTAGGGCCTCTCTCCAGTGTGCGTTCTCTTATGTGCAATAAGGTGGCAGCTCCTGCCATAGGCCTTCCCACACTGATCACACTTGTAAGGCCTCTCACCAGTGTGAACTCTCATGTGTATCTTCAGGGCCGAAAGGGTCCGGAATGCATTTCCACACTGACTGCAGTCAAAGGGCTTCTCTTTGAGGTGAGTCCTCGCATGACTCCTAAGGGCTGAAGGGTCATTGAAGGCTTTCCCACAGTCAGTGCATTCATAGGGTTTCTCCCCAGTGTGTATTCTCCTGTGCCGGGTGAGGGAAGCACTTGTTGTGAATGCTTTTTGGCACTGATGACATTCATGCATTTTTCTGCCATCAAACATGCTCACATGTTGAGTCAGGTGTGGCCTGCTATTGAAAGTTACCCCATAGTCGCGGCGGTGATAGGGCCTCTTGCCAGCATGCCTTCCCATTGGCTGGGTAAGATGAGCACCCATGCTGAAGACTTCAAACAAGTGTGCGTATTTAGTGGATTTCTCTCCAAGACGAGCTCTTTCCTGCTGGTTAAGAGATGAGTGCTAAGCATTTCACACATTCATTACATTTCTAAGGATCATCCCTGCATACACTGCTACAAATAGAAGCATACTAGAGAGATGTCATACTTTGCAGTGCAAATGTACTATTCCTATTCCATTTGAACACCATCAGAGAATATGCAAATGCTAAGCTGTAAGGCTCCATGACTGTAACTTTTACAAAGGCTTCTGCATGCAGTTTGTTCACTACTTAAAACTGAACTGAGACTTAATGCTCAATATTGGAAATACTAATGAGAACTCTGAGTGAAGAACTTTGAGACTAGGTGGAGGTTTTTTCCAAACTTGACAGTATTCAGTGTCTCTGGAATATGCTTCCTCCTGGGGAATTACCATGTGCCTGGTCCTCAAGCTGCTTTCCTAACATGGGCTGCCCCAGTCTCTGAGAATGGGGAAGGAATAACTAAAGGAATATCCCAAGGAACTCTTACCATTGTCAAAACAGTGGATGTCTCCTTCCCAAAGATATCTTCCATAAGAATTGACCACTTGGTATTAGATGGAGTCTCCCAATCTGAAACACAAAGTATGAACTTGCTCAAAAAAGAATACATTGTGATCATGGTGACAAAAATAGGTGGATTACTTTGCAGATTCTAACCCTAAGGGAAGGTGATACAAAAGGACAAGACACAAATGTAAACAAAAATAATTGTTGAAAATCAGATTGTGTGAGGTATTTGCCAGTGATGGGGAGAAATTTAAGTCAATTCAGATGGATGCTGATAATGACAGAGTATGATCAGAAATATCAAATATGGGCAGCACCCACAGCTCAGTGGGTAGGGCACCAGCCACATATACCAAGACTGGTGGGTTTGAGTCTAACCCAGGCCAGCTAAAATCAACAATGACAACTGCAACAAAATAATAGCTGGGGGTTGTGGTAAGCACCTGTGGTCCCAGCTACTTAGGAGACTGAAGCAAGAAAATTGCTTAAGTCCAAGAGTTCAAGGTTGCTGCAAGCTGTGATGCTACAGCACGCTACAGAGGGGGACACAATGAGACTCTGTCTCAAAAAAAAAAAAAAAAAAAAGAAAATTGAATATGAAAGAATGGGACAAAAAGCCCACACAGAAACACCAAATGCTAAGATAAAAGAGGCTAAAGAATTTGTGAGAGAATGGATAGGCAACGAGAGAGAGAGCAATTCCTAACTTCCCTGGTTGACACTTTCCAATGCACCTCCCCCACCCACTGAGTGGAGCTGAGTCACAGCATGGCTGCTTTCCTCCTGCTCACGCACCTGGACCAGGGCCTTGCTGAGTGCCCATCTCTTCCATCCTCAGTTCTTCCTCTTGCTCCAGGTGAGAAATGAGACTGGGCTTGCCAACCTGATACCCTGTACTCACAGGAAAAACACAGTTGAGAGAGGGCCATAGGGGAAATCCCTTCCACTAGACTGGGATCAATACTTTGGTTTTCAGTGTTCTGAAGGTGGACAAGTCTGACTTAGGAAGAGAAAAATGATGGTGCCCAGTTTCTAAAGAACACACTTAACATCTTTCATGGAAAACAAAACCACAAAACCCCACACACTGGCCTTCCAAAAGAAAGGCCTGAGCTCAGACACACACTGGAGACCCTCCAAGGTCAATGGTCATGGGAGACAGCATGAGGCTAAACACCAGGGCAGCCTGTGTTCTGAACTCCTGCACAGATCCTGGGTCACAGTGAGTACTTTAAAACATCTGATTCACAAGTGAAGAAACAAAGAAATGGTGCCAGCCATACCCAGCGAAGTGAGGTTGCTATAGTTCTCCAGCATCACATCCTTGTACAGTTTTCTCTGGGAAGAATCCAACAGGGGCCACTCCTTCTCAGTGAAGTCCACAGCAACATCCTGGAAAGTCACTGATTCCTGAAACACCACACATGTTTGGGGTCAGTGAGAAACCAGCCCACTGGTGTTCACAGAAGGCAGGCTCAGGCTGAAGACTGGGCATGAGAGCCCCAACACGGGATTTTCAGACAATAAGCTATGTAGATTTCCTCTAGACATCAGTCCTCAGGTATCTCCTCTTCCCTATGAGGTGATCTTGTCCCATTTCATTCCTTCAATTCTGACAAGGGACAAAATCTCTCCACTTCTACCCTGGTCTGAATGCTTTCAGTTTTACTTCCTCTTTGAGGGTGTGGGCCTGAGCACCCTGCAAAGCATGAGAGAACACTTGCTACAAGAATCATTTCCCCTAACTTCCCCAACACCAGGACAGCCTCTGCATATTCACTGGTTCTCCCTCAGGCCCTGCTCAGATGTCCACCAGTCAAGACGAATATCTGAAAGCATTCTGATAGGTGTTGGTGGGGGTGGTGCTGGGAAGTGCCTCTTCCCACCTCAGGGGCCCTGACTACATGGTGTACCTGGGAACCAAACCCAGCTGGTATGTGAGGCTCCAGATCACTGCAAGCACACAGGTCCAAGTTCTGAGGACAGGAATGGTCTTTTGAAGAAAGAGGAAATTCTGGCTCTTGCAGACAGGTGGGGTCCTGGGTAGACACAGCTAGAGGGGAAAAGAATATCTATGTGAATCAAGTTCAATACCTGCTGTGATCTGGGAACCGGCTCTACATCACAAGCCCCACAAACAGGGCAACTGCTCCACACTAAGTCTTCAGCACCCACCCCAAACACACACTCTACATCACAACCTCCATAAACAGGGCAACTGCTCCATACTACCTCTTCAGCGTCCACCCCAAACACACTCTCTACATCACAACCCCCACCCCACAAACAGGGCAACTGCGCCACACTAACTCTTCAGCGTCCACCCCAAACACAAACTCTACATCACAACCCCCACAAACACGGCAACTGCTCCACACTAACTCTCAGCGTGCACCCCCAAACACTCTCTACATCACAACTCGCACCCCACAAACAGGGCAACTAATCCACACTAACTCTTCAGTGTCCACCCCAAACACTTTCTCTACATCACAACCCCCACTGTAGCAGTCCATATACCTTATGGCTAGGAGGAGTGAGAGTTATAAGAAATACCTGTAGCTCAATAATGGAACACCTTGGTGGAAAGGGTATGGAGAGAGATTTAGCTCTCCTAACAAGCATGAGAGCTCACAAGATGAGAACAGTGGTGAATTGGCAGTCTCTACACCTGTGGTGTTGAGAAGCACGAGATCAGCCTTGTATTAGGCTGGAGGAGAAGGCAGTCGGACAGCATGCACTTTCTATCATGGACTCCCTTACTCTGACTCTGTGTCCTCTCCTGCCTGCAGAATGCCCGCACGGTGTCTCTCTGCTGAAGATTACCAAGCTCTGTTGAAGACTAAGATCTATCTATGCTGAGAAGACTGCTTTACTCTAAGACACACACACTCTCTCTCTCTCCAGCTAAGGATAGCCATCAGGTACCTAAGAGAAACTGTTCCTGAGCAAGGTAGCTTAGCGGTCCGCGTCCGGAACCTACCTAAGCTGGCCTGAGACCTGGCCAATCCCGGGCCCTGACACCCCACAAGCAGGGCAACTACTCCACACTAACTCTTCAGTGTCCACACCAAATACACTCTACATCACAACCTCCACAAACAAGGCAAATGCTCCAAACTAACTCTTCAGTGTCCACCCCTAAAACACTCTCTACATCACAACTCCCACCCCACAAACAGGGCAACTGTTCCACACTAACTCTTCAGCGTCCACCCCAAACACACTCTCTCTCACACACATGTGTTATAAAAAGCCAGGGCAGCCCTATTCCACTCAAAGGCAGAAGAAAGGGTGGTGGGCCTACATACCAGCAGGAAGAGAAATACATTCCCAAATATGAGTGAAGAAATGGAGGCTCTAAGAGAGACAGTTATTACCTTGCTCAAATTCATCACAATGATAAATAGAATAATGCAAGATTACCCATCACCTGTGCCTTCTTTGCACACCAAATACACATCTGTTCTCCCTGTCCCAGACACACCAAGACCCTAAGTCAGACACAGTGACCAGGTGGCTGCTGGGGCTCTGCTCCTCTCGACTCACCCACCCTACCCTGGTAACCCATGGAGGCTATAGCAGAGACCACTTACACTCAATTCCCCAAGGCAGGCACTTACCAGATGTGGGAGACAGCCTGAGAGCAGTCATCCTGTGGGAATGACAATTTGCCTGAATAACAGGGCACTGGGAGAACCAGAAGGCTACTCTCTTGCCCTCACAGGACTCTTCACACTGGCATCTACAGTAAATGAAAGAACATCAGGAGTAAGTAATTAAAGGCTGCCCTCTCCTGCTCACCAAGGAAAACATTTTTTTTTTTTTATTAAATCGTAACTGTGTACGTTAATGTATTGAGTTTTGTTTCTTGGCATTTCCTCTTTTGGACAGCAAGTTCTGCCTGACCCTAAGTCTTTCTCTTACTTAGGTAAAGCCTCCAAAGAGTGTGTATGTGTGTGTATGGGGCGGGGAGGGGAGATGTCCCTGATCTACCTCAAGTAGAGCTCAAAGTCACTCTCTTCCTAAGTGATCTGCTACCAACCACAACTCGAACTCTTTCACTCCTGAAATACACTGGTCCCAGGCTCTTCCTCTCACCTTCAAGGTACACCATCATTTAATATGGTTCTATTCATGAGGAGGGTCCAGCCAGGACCACACACTCCAGTCACCAACATCTTTTGCACCCACATTCCACATCAATAGACACATCCTTGGGCCACAATGTACACTGTATCATCACCATGATCAGCCTTACCTCCCAGACAATTCAGAAATCTGAACTCTGGGCTAAACCTCCTACACAACCTTCTCATAGTAATTCCCCCACTTTAAAGAGATTCTGAGACACCTGTGCTTTTGCCATCTGTGCCCTAATAGCCACCTCCTGCTCTCAACTATCCAACTAAGATTCACCACAACTCACCACTTCAACAGTTTATTTTTCCAAATTCCTTTATCTCTCTGTTAGAAACCCTAAATAGTAAAAGGCCAGCATGGAAAATTCCAACCATCTGCGTCCTCCCTGAAGGGCCCTGGGAAGACACAACCAGTCAAAACAGTAGAGGAGAAACTCAGAAGTCACTAACTCCAAGGGGAATCTACCTTTGAGAAAAGTAGACTTGTCGATCTAATCTTCCAGTCTCCCAAAGATCATGTAAAATGTGGCCAGTTTTTGTGAAATAAAACTTTTCTTACAGTTACCTTTACTGTCAGGAAATATTCCTGCATTTCATTTCATGGTACTCATAACTTAAATACATACATCAGCAAAGAACTGGGAAATGAAGATTAAAACATAATTTCATTTATGATAGCATACATCAAATACCTAGGAACAAATCAAGTAAAAACTATGCAAAGACTTGGGGCAGCGCCTGTAGCTCAAAGGAGTAGGGCACCGCCTTCAAACCCAGCCTTGGCCACAAATTGCAAAAGAAAAAAAAAAAACCTATGCAAAGACCTAGACAATTAAAAACTATGAAAACAGTTTCCTTAACGTTATCTTAAAGACATGAGTAATATTTTGTTTTCATGGACATTTAAGACTCAGTATTACATGTATTAAGGTATTCAATCCCTTCAAATTCATTTGTAGATAAACACAGTCCGTATGAAAATTCCAGTAGACATCTTTCTTGAAATTGACAAACCAAATCTAACTTAATGGCTCGGTGCCTATAGCTCAAGTGGCTAGGGCACCAGCCACATACACCAGAGGTGGCAGGTTCAAGCCCAGCCAGGCCTGCCAAAGGGCAATGAAAACCACAGCCAAAAAGTAGCCAGGTGTTGTGGCGGGTGCCTGTAGTCCCAGCTACTTGGGAGGCTGAGGTAGGAGAATCACTTAAGCCCAAAAGACTTTGAGGTTGCCGTGAGCTGTGATGCCACAGCACCCTATGGAGGGTGACATAGTGAGACTCTGTCTCAAAAAAAAAAGAAAAAAAACTAACTTAAGAATGCAAAAGATCTAGAAGAGTTAGAACAATGTTAAGAAAGAAAAACTTGGAAGATTCACACTACTAATTTGACCAAGTAATGAAGAATTACTAGAATAACTACAGACCTATATATATGCAGTCAAATGATTTTCAGTAAAAATGCAAAACTTGAAAAAAGGAACTTTGACCTCTCTTCTCATTCCATACACAAAAATCAGTAGGAATCTGAAAAACACTTTGCAATTAATCAGATAACAATAAAATTCATAAGCCTTTATGACCTACCTTGAGTTACTCAACAGTATCTTAGACTAAACTGAAATGGAAATTTAACAAAACCACAAAAAATTAACTTTACCAAAATCAAAAATTCTACTTATCAAATGACACCTTTAAAATGAACAGTGAGCAACAGACTGGGAAAAAACATACCCAATACATATACTATAATTTTGCAGTGTACAATGTGCACTTTTTTTGCCCAAATTTTGGAGGGAAAAATAAGGACGCATACTATAAATGGGTAGTACTAACTCCATAGCTGTATGTTTTAAATTATTTTATTTATTCATCTACATTAAAAGTAGAACTCTAGAAATTGGGCACAGTGGCTCATGGCTGTAATCCTAGCACTCTGAGCAGCTGAGGCAGGTGGACTGCTTGAGCTCAAGAGTTCAAGACCAGCCTGTGCAAGAGTGAGACCCCCCTTCTCTACTAAAAACACAGAAAAGTAGCTGGGTGTAGTGGTGCACAGCTATAATCTCAGCTACTCAGGAGGCTAAGGCAAGAGGATTGCTCAAGCTGAAGAGTTTGAGGTTGCTGTGAGCTAGGATGGCACTACAGCACTTTACTCAAGGCCACTGAGACAGGGTCTCCAAAAAAGAAAAACTGGTTCTTAGAATGCTAGAAATCAATGACACTATCGATATGCAAAATAAAACCATGGAATATAGTAATCACTTCCATTGAACTATGATGAAAGCCAATGTTACATAAAATGGAAAAGCAATCACAGTGAACTTGCAAACCCAACTCGCTATGGTATCTGGTGGGCTATCCAGTCAATGGGAAAAGAGCAGGCATCACAGCCAGCCAGCTGGTAATGATTTAACACCTACAGGCAGGAACAAGAAAACATCTATCACCCAGGTTTATGATTAGATCCTAAGATGGAACAGTGTCAAGAAGAAAGCAGTTGTGAAATCATTTAAAAATGCAGCATCAGCAATGCTATGGAACTGAGGATGATGAAAGTTACCGAGATGAGGAAAGTGACTCTTCAGAAGATACCACTAATGTGTAAACTGAAGAAGATGACATTTCTGATATTTTGACCGTGATGAAGAGAGCTCTTGGCCTTCTATGATGCATAAATATCATAAGTTTGTTACTGGTACCTAAAATTTATTGTACCTTTCATCTGTTCTATGTTTTGTTAATTTTTGTTACATTAAACTTCTTATATCACAATATATTTTAAAAAATGTTAATTGGCTAAGTGCCCATAGCACAGTGGTTACGGTGCCAGCCACATACACAGAGGGTGGTGGGTTCGAACCCAGCCTGGGCCAACTAAACAACTACAACAACAACAAAAAAATAGCCAGATGTTGTGGCAGGCATCTGTAGTCTCAGGTACTTGGGAAACTGAGGCAAGAGAATCGCTTAAGTCCAAGAGTTGGAGGTTGCTGTAAGCTGTGATACCACGGCATTCTACCAAGGGTGACATAGTGAGACTCTGTCTCAAAAAAATAAATAAATAAAAATTAAAAAAAGTTAAAATCCCTTTATAATAAAAAACATTAATTTAATTTTTTAAATTAAAATAAAAGATTTTTTTCTTCAAATTTTGGGCCAAAAATGTGGGTGTGCATTATACACAGAAAAATGTGGTAACTGACAAAGAATTCGTATTTAGATTACATAAAGAACTACAAAACAACTGGGAGCTGTGGCTCACGCCTGTGATCCTAGCACTTTGGCAGGCCAAGGCAGGAAGATCAGTGAGCTATGATGATGCCACTGCATTCTAGCCTGTGTGACAGAGACCCTGTCTCAGAAAATGAATGAAATAAAATAAAGAAATGAATGTGAGGTCAACAGCTGACTGCTTCTCAGCAATAAAGGAAGCCAGAAAATAACTATGTCTTCATAGTTTTGGCATAAAATAAAAATCCTATAACCACCAAAATGTCCATTGAGAAAGAGAGCAAAACATTTTTTTTTTTTGCTTTTGCAGTATACAATGTCCCAGAAAAGAAATAGTCTAAACGATGTTACTTCAGAGATAAAGTAGTAATCAAAGAAGGAAAGCAAAGAGTGTGAAAACCAAGTAAAGCACACAAAGCAGCAAATGTGTGAATAAAATGAAACAAAAAAAAAGACTATGCAATTATCTGTTCTGAGATCTAAAACAGAAGGAAGTATGTACAACTACGTATATCAATAAAAACAAAGCACTAAAATGCATAAGAAAGGCATGTGAATCAGGAGAGTGACAACATGTAAGACTCTAATAAACAAACATGGATAAGAGCTGCTCATGAGAACCACTGAAATAATACACTAAATAAAGTCAAACTGTTCAGTGAAAAAGTAGAATGAGAAAAAAAGCCTAGAATGAAGAGAAAGTAGAGATATGACAAACATAACATTCAAATACATTAATACATTGTTAATAAACTTAATGGTTTAACTAAAATACAGATATTCATAAAATAGATTAAAAATAATATAATTATATGCCATTGCAAGAGATGTCTAAAACATAAGGATATAGGCTGTATAATATTCCATGGTATACATCAGGCGTCCTCAAACTACAGCCCTAGGCTCAAATGTCTGCCTAGGACATTTATCTGGCTGGCCAGGTGTTTCTGCTGCCACTGCCTGTCCTGCTTAGCAGCTGACTCATCCCGGGGTTTGCAGTCCGGCCCTCCAACAGTCTGAGGGACAGTGAACTGGCCCTCTGTTTATAAAGTTTGAGGACCCCTGGCATACATATACCAAATTTTGTTAATCCATTCATAAGTCAATGGGCACCTGGGCTGCTTCCATGACTTGGCAATTATGCATTGGCTGCAATAAACATTCTGGTGCAATTATCTTTGTTGTACAGTGATTTTTGGTCTTCTGGATATATACCTAGCAGAGGCATGGCAGGATCGAACAGCAGGTATACTTTTAGTTCCCTAAGTGTTCTCCAAACTTCTTTCCAAAAGGAACGTATTAGTTTGCAATTCCTACCAGCAGTGCAGAAGTGTTCCCTTCTCTCCACATCCACACCAACATCTATAGTTTTGGA